ACTTGTTGCCATATCCTTTTCCCATGTGCAAAGAAACCCTCCCCAGTAGCAGCTGGTCTGCATAGTTGCGAGTGGTGGGATCAGCTGTAAGACAGTTGTGGTGTATGCTGAAGTCCCGAAGAGAGTGGAGAGGGTGCTGAAGTTTCGAGGGGACATTGAAGCGAAGAAAAAGACCCTTGTGTTTAAGAGCAGGTGCCCGCCTCCCCCTTACTCAACAGCCACCCCAGCTGGGGAGCCCGAGGGGCAGAGCGGCCGGAGGTGCCGCGCGGCGTCCGCTTCAATTCACTCGGCTTAGGAGCGGGGGGTGCGCAGGAGGGAGGGGGTGGGGGAGCGGGGAAAAAACAGGAGACCGAAGGTGCTTGGGCTGCTGGGCTCGCCGAGAATCCAGCTCCGGGCTCCGCCACGGCCAAGTCGCCACAGTGTGGTTGCCCTATAAGACTGGTACGCCCTACTCCCCGTAACAATGGCCTCTGCTTTTGCACAGGGAAAAAAAACCACACAGACACATACACACACACACACACACACACGCTCACACACACACCCCACCTCTCCCCCTTTAGCGGGCTTAGATGCCTGATAAGGAGGGAAGGTGATGGTGGTATTGGGGGAGAGGGGATTTTTACACCCCACCCCACCCCCACCCCCAAAATAAGGGTGAGTAAGGAAAGAAGGTAGAGGTTTGGGTTTTTTTTTTTTTTTTTTGGTCTTTTCATTTTGTAAGAACAGGTACATTTTTAAGTGGAGATTTTGGCAGGGGAGGCAGGGGGAGCCAAGGCAAGGGAAGCCAGTTGGAGTTCCCAGCTCTTACCACCCCAGTGGTAAACCATTATGCTAATTGAGAAGGAGCTGCTGGGAGGCCTAGTCAAAGGCTCTGTGCTCCCCGGGGGTGGGGTGCGTGGCGCCCCTCTGTATTCATTTGCAGTGGAACACTAGGACTTTTTTTTTTTTTAAGTAGTTTCACTCCTCTGGGACTGGTGGCTGGGTCTTCCGCCCTCTGGCTCTGGCTCCCTCCATCTGAATCTCCCGGTCTGCTGCTTCTCTCCCCACACCCACTCTATTCTTCCTCTCTCCCCACAAATTTCCAGACCCAGTTTCCAACTGGTAGGGAGGGAAGGCCAGATTTTTTTTTTTAAACAGCCCCCTCCCTTTTTTTTTTTTTTTTTTTGAGAACAGACAACAAGCGGTGAGTGATTATTTAAAAAACCCAGACCATCTTGCAGGGCGAAGGGGGGCTGATGAGATGGTGACAAAAGGAGGACCCTGTGTTTCGCTTCAGCTCCAGACCGGCTGGCCAGAGCCTGTAAGAACCTCCCAGAGAAGTTTCTGTTAGGATTCTCACCTCTGGGTGGGCAGGAGGGGCTCAGAGGTGATAAGGATATTTGTACTTCTAAGAAGATGAGAAGAACTAGCAAAATGGCTTAATTTTAAGTGAACCGGCAGGAGAAACAGAGGATAGTTGTTGTGGTGGTGGTGGCTGTTGTCATTATTATTATTATTATTATTATTCAGAACAAACCTGTTCTCTCAGCTCTGCAAGATGATGATTCTGGGCAGAAGTAAGGAAGATGATAGAAGCTAAACTTTTCTTAGCGTGTGTTTGAGAAGGGCGGGGAGGCCTGTAGGAGGAAGACAGGGGCCAGGAATGTAGGTGTCTGCAGATTTGGGTCGGGGGTGGGGACGAGTCCCGTTGGTGGAGGAAAAAGACAAAAAGAGCACCAGGACATTCCCAAAAGCAGGAGTGTTTGCAACTCTGCTAACTGCTGACTCTGGGTTTAGGGGATAAAATAGGAGGCAAACGGTCTCTTTTTTTCCTACAAAGGCAGCTTGGAAAACTTGTTCTCTTAACTTTTTGTGGATAGCACCAGCCACTACCCCGTGAGCTCCCGGTTAGAATATTTGGCTTTTGCCTTCTCCCATCTGGATGCACCAAGGAGAGATGGGACTGGGAGAACAAAGGTGAGAAACTGTTTCCAACTATTCTATTGTCTTCCTTCCAGGAGAGGGTGGTTGTGCCTGGCAAAGCTTCCCTCAGATCCTATCGTTCCTCATTCACAGGCTCTGCTTTGGGCTGAGAAACTATTCTATTCCCATAGGAAGTGGTTCCTGGGTTCCTCTGCCCCCCCCACTTCTTCCAGGCCCCCTAAGTCAGACTTTCTGGGTTGAAGCAGTAGGTTTCCTGGGGCCTGCTGAATTAGGGGGTGGGGTACCCATGGCCTCCCTACCCTCTAGCAACAAGAACCGCATGTAGAGCTTTCACTGTGATATTCCCAAGGACCCTACGGCCTCCTAGAGAGATGGTGGCTGAGAGAAAGGATAGATGAAGATAGAGGGTGGGAGCCATTTTTTTCTGCGTTCATCAAGAGTATCAAGAAAAGAAAATGCCCAAGCCAGACCCAATGCTGGGGCTCAAGCCATGACCCTCGAAGAGAGTGGTTATGGCTGCATGAGGATGTGGCTGCAAGAAATCTGTCCTGAGATCTCTAGTCCCTGGTGAGAGACCTACAGAGTGGGACTCTATGTAGCTTTGGGTCTGGTGGGTCAGGGACTCAGCCCAGGGAGGCTGCCAGAGGCTTAAGGGAACCAGCACCTTTGGGTCTTTTCTCTCACTCCCCAAAATTAAAAAGCCAAGAATGTATCTCAGACCCTCCATCTCTCCTAGCTGTTGCTAGAGAAGATCGTCATAAAATTGAGAGAAGAGAAAACCTGGTTGTTTGTGGCTCCAAAGCTTTGCATCAAGGAATAAAAAGAGAGCCTGGAGGGCACCCCGCCAGCTGCCGGCCAAGCCCCGGCTGCAGGCTGATGGGGCCTGGAGCTGAGCTGGGGGTGGAGGCGCTTTCCAGAGACAGCAGTGGACTATTCCCCTCCTGGAGCCTCAACTCACTGCGGTGCCTTCTGGCTACGCAAAGAACTGGGGTGTGGTGGGGCGGGAGCAAAAAGAACTGGGGAGCAAGAAAACTAACCTGGAGAAAAAGTTCAGAAGACATGCGCCCCCAAATGCGGTAGGAGATGAAGTGGGACTTCTTAGTTCTGGAAAGCAGAGCCCATTTGAAATGTTTGGGAGGCAATTAGATCCTATTTTGGTTTCTTTCTTGCCTTTTTTCTTCCTTTCTTGGAGATTGCTGGCTGGCCGGTTGCCCCAGATTGGGACAGGGAGGGTGGGGGGTGTGGACGGTAGAACAGGCAGCCCTGAGGGCTCCCATTTCGTTTGAGGTGTTGATGCAGGATTGGGACCTTTCAAACTTCAAGGGACAAAGACTGGATAGTGAGGAGTGTGGGCAAG